CTATTTGCTCAGATTTGCTCACTCTGTAAGACCCTATCGCCTTTGTCGAGCGGATTTGAGCCTCGCTTACGGGGGTTCAGCTCACCAGGACAGAAGCGAATTTTCGCATGTCTAGCAACCAGGAACTTATTGGCAGCAGAACACTTTGTTGTCAGTGGTGGGGCCTGGAGGATGCTATATCCGACAGTAAGGGGGCATGTGTGCGACAGTTCATATTGCATGAAGTAATCCACTTTTTCAGGGGGGAAGCTCCGGGGTGGTGTAAAAGTTCAAGCGAAATGGTTCACGCACCCCGGGGATTCCCTCCCCTTGCAAAAATTGGAATTTCTGTAGCCGGCAAGAACTGTCGCACCACATGCCCCCCTTACTGGATGAGACCCCAAACTAATGTTATAGCTATTTGCTGGGAGGGCGCAGACGAGCTGGAAATGGGCGTGGCTAGGACTGACTCTGCTGATAGCGACCACCGCATTCCCGAACTGAAACTTCCAGAGGTGCGGTAAGCCGTCCTCGCTTTACGAATCCCCGGCGCTAGTTTCAGTATTTTTCATGTGTCAGCAATCGATAGCCGTTGCCGAGTGGTGCTATTTATAATGGGTTGCCAATCTCGCTGTTATTCACATCGTCTCATTTCACTGTCCATTGTTTTCAAAAAGCTAACACTACGCTACCTATCCTTCAGCAGTAATTTTTCATCCCGTCGTGTTTGAGAATAGCAATAATTTCTTCATCCTTTTGCATGCTAATGAAAAACAGCTATGGGTTATTAATGTGTTGGTGTGTGACGTGTTGACCCAGAAAAAGTTAGCGGAGGAGTTTTTGCACAACGGCATTCTCGGGCTCGGTAAAACTGCTTACATTCCAAGGAATACTTTGTACTTTGAACATGATGTGACCCCAGCGTAGCTGTGAAAGAGGGAGGGGCATATTGGTGTGGAAAGCCTATCGCATTTTACACCGCAAAGAACAGCTCATATTATATATGGCTAGGAGAAATACCACATAATTCCCGGGTCTATTCCTGCGAGAGAGGGCATTGGGGTGCACAGTCTGCTCTAATGCCACTTCGGCGCACGGAGTCCTTTAAAACTACGCAGCTTCTTTGTTACGTTGTTTATTCTATTTTTTTAATATTGTATGTGTTCTTATGTTTTGTTGCTCTTATGTAATTGAACGTCTACAAGAGGAATACTTACCTAGTGAGCAGGGCGCAATGTACCTCCGGGAGGGGGGGGGGTTGTTGGAAGGCCACTAGGACTAAGCCTGCCACAGAGGGACGAATTCCGGAGCAAATGAAAATTGCTTATGCAGCTCGGATTCCCCCTTTTCTTCCAGAGCTCAGTCTCAAAACTGAAAGTTTTCGTGAGTGGAAGTCTTCCGGAGAAATCGGAGATTGCTCACGAACCCTAAAGCTTAGTCCTGAACCTTTTTGTTGGGAGAGCATGCTTTCCGTGGTTCCAGACTTGTTAAGCGTTTTGAACCGCATGCCCTTCCCTCACTGGAATATGTATCTCGTAGTTTTCTTTATGCACAAGGATTTTGGGTAGGTACACCTGCCCCCAGGGTTTGCTTTTCCGTCGAAAGGAGAAATTAGTGTAGGCGTACGAACTACTGCTCCAAGTATTTCTCTATATTGTCAGCTGTAGCGCAATGCACAGATATTTATTTAGTTACATTTATTCATTTGAAGTCCAGCGGACGTATACTTTATAGGTATACAGGGCAAAATCCAATAGAAATACAGCTTGCAATCAGAGGACAGGAGCCCCAATCACTTATAGTTAATACAAAAGTAGCTGGTGGTACCTAACGATTGACTGGATATTTGTATAGAATACGTGCCATAGAGGAGCCTGTTCAAATGATTTCTTGAGTCTTTTTTCAGTTCTTCACTAAAAGAGCTTTGCCGGGAGCCACATCTTAGTACCTCGAAAATAACCCAACCGAGGCCGCTGTGAGTATTTATTCCCATGCACCAAAGAAGCTTGGGGCGGCCTATTGACTCATTCCATCGAACATCCATACCGCGTGCTTTTAGACATGCAGCGACAGAAGTACCGGAGCACTTAAGCCCTCTTAAACCCCCATGTCCTATTCCCCATGAGTTAGGCAAGTCTTACCAACATTTTCGAATCGTTCGAAGATCAGCGCACTTAGCCGTTTGGTTCCAGCCTGCCTCCTACGTTGCGCGTTTTCGCGGCCAGCCCGACCGTCATGAATTGGCGGTACCTTCACGTAATCATTGCAATAGTTCAAATGGACAGTGATACGTGACATGATACGGCTCCACTTCGCCCTTGTAAATGCCACCGCGCTGATCTGTGTCCCGCGCGCTCGTTCGTTGGCACCTCTTGTCCCCCTTCTCTGTTTCCCTATCTTTTCAGGCATAGTGCCATACTCTCTTGTATGATCTCGTATGGTTTCTTCTCTTTTCTATTCCTTAGTGGTGAACAGCAACAGTTCTAATCTTACTCTCAGACACATAAACACAGTTGTTCGGTAGAGCGGTGTTTTTAGAAATCGGAGTTGGCTGTCTGCCAAGTACTAGCATCGGCTGCTAGGCTGAGGTCGTGTCAGGCCTAGCGAATCCAGCCACTCCCCCCAGTGATTGGCTGTTTCTCTAGCAATCCGAGGGGTACGAACGATGCGCCAGCTAAGGGCGCACGCATAGTCGGTCGGACGACAGCAACGATCGTAACTGTCGCACAGCATTGGATGCGTATCGATCGTCGGACTTGCCTGAGTATTCGACGATTAGATGCAGTTAGACAGTCAGACAGTTGCGCGCACCAACGCCGCTGCTGGGTCAAATGTCGCCGCCCGCATCGCTTGCGCCCCTCGAATTGCAGCGAATGCATGGGTTCGCAAAGTCTGACACTGGCTTAACTGGGAGAAACGATGCGCGCTACAATCAGTGAACACGTTTTCCTAGAAAGCAACAGTTCATACATAGCTGCGTGTATATTGCGTGAGAAAACAGTTTCACATTTAATCGGAGTAGACCTTTTTTGGGGGATTTCCTTGTGTGAGAGAAATGGCGAAGTATGATATTATGCAGTAACCTTACTTGAACTGGCTGACTTTATGCCTCAGTGCCTATCGTGTTGTTTTTTGCAGTGAATTTCCCATTAACATTCTCTATGCCATATTGTTCTTCTTGTCGCCGTCCGACAATTACAAGAATGTTTTCTGTCAGCCATTCGCATGCATTATCGGCAAAGTAGCCTCTCCAGTGTTTTCGTGTTGTCTTTTTCTCTTCAGATCGATGCGAAAACGACAGGCTGCAGAACAGCTGAGTTTCTTGTTTTGTATGCATGTATCCGGTAAGAACTTTTTGAGGTAAACTGAACTCCACTGCCTTAAGAAGACTTTGTGGTTACCCTGAAATTTCCAGAACGAACGCTTCTGCAGTTGCATTGCTTTTCTGCTAGAAAATTCATCATTTTTTTTTCAAATTCTCCTTGTTATTTATGTTGCGTCTTTGCTGCGGCTATTCTTCAAATCTTGCCAGCTTGCAGTTTGTGGTTTTGAGTGCTGCTGAGCCTATTGTTCGGGTTCTTTCGAAAGCTGACGTCACCGCTCTTCCTCCTTATGTTCCTTGAATGCCAGGAGTTGGCTCCAGAAAGTATAAAATTCTTCGCTTTTTGTACTAGAACAGTTCAACAGGTTTTTGATTTCGAGCCACATACCACTCACTATTTACCAAGAGTTTTTGTGAAAATGTTTGCTTATCGGACCAGAAGTGATCGCAGTGCTCTCATGAGGCAGCAGCAGTTAGTGTTCACCGGTTCTCCGATTCGTCCAAAACGTTGGGTATGTACGCGGCCCCTGAGTATTGTTGGCAAGAGTGAATTTCTAAAAGTATTGGCGACTAGTGTTTTTTCAGACGTTTTGTTCATCAAGGGTTTAAAAAAGTGTGAATCGACATCTTTTGCAATCCTGCTATTTTTATTGTCAAATTTGGCATTCATTCCCAAACAAACCATAAGGTGAACCATTTTGTAATTCAAACGGCAATTTCATGACTTATATAGACCAATCTCAGTGATTCAGCTGTATTGATCAGTTTTGTTTGTCTTCTCCCGCTCCACGCTTTTCTACAGCCGTCTTTCTTGTTGTTTCTCACGTTCACTGTTGCCCTCTTATGGAATCACTGGGAAAAAGTTTTTTCTGTTTTTGATTTTCAGCCATGCTATGCCTATGCTAGTCCTGAAGAAGATTTTTGTCAGGGGACGTTTTTGCAAAGGGCTTACACTTTTGTATACTGTAATGTATTGATGAGGTTCCACTTTACCACATGATGAGGGGCATGACTTGGTATCATAGCATCAACAATACCCAATTTTAACTCTGCACCGCTCTGTGCCTCTCACCATGGCGGGTTTTCTGCATTCTGAACTTTCTCATTTGGAAGAATTGCACCCACTGTCTCGCGCAAATTAGATTATGTTGAATTCCTAACCTTTTAGTGCACTCTCCTGGCAACAGTTTCCCGAAAACAAATTTCGAGGCACTTCATGCTGACTGCTTGTTATCTTCCGTCTGCATCCAATAACTTTCTGCTGAGTACGACTTTGCAGCGGTTTCTCATCTTAACAATTACTTAAAGTAGAAAAACTTGTGTTTAGTTGAACAGAAAACCTGTCTCCAGGGTTTGCAAAGAGGAACTCGGTTTGTAAAGCGCAAAAAATGCAAAAGAGGCGGAATATGGTGATGGAAAGCTTAATGGCAGTGCTAATTGAGTAACCTATTAAGTAAATGATATCTACTTCACGGTCTTGTGCTCTTTCATCCTTCTCCATTGATTGATCTGGGAATTATGTATATTCAAGCAGAAGAATGCGAAGATCTCCCGTTTCTTTTTTCAATTTATTCACTCCTCAGTGCTCTGGATTCAATTCTACCGTCTCTTCAGCATAACTCTCAGTTTACGTCGTTTTCTGCCTCGTTGTGTTTCGAAGAGCATATGGAATTACTTTATTGCGGTTTTCTTTAAGGTGATGACTGAAATTGGTAATCAAACAGACGATCAGCTTCGACAGCGTCGAACTCATGGTCAAACAGATGATGTACGACCAACCAGCGATGAAAGTGACATGGACGCTATTCCGCAAGATGAGGAGAGGTTGGTTCCTGGTTTCATTTCACTCCCCATTTTTACGGCCACATCTTCATCATAGCGCCATCATCATGCCCCATCCTTTACAGCAACAGTATTTTGCACTTCTGGAGCTTGAGCTAGGTTAGGGTCGCGCTATACTTTGCATTTGGTCTTGTAGTTCTTTGTGAAATAGATACGTATAGATCGCCGCATCATGACCGATATGTGTCTACTCCACTCTCGAACTGCTATGTATGACCAGACCCAATGCACGCAAAAACTGAGCTTTTTGCCTGTCTAACATGGTTTAACAGTAGATACTCATTGTAGAATGCGCACGCCTCATTGGCATATGTTGCGGCCACACTCCATCATAATCGCCTTTGCTTTCAATCGGCGCTCTGCTAGTCAATTACTTTTGATTTCGACTTCTGCATTAGGTTGCCTAATACTGCTCCTATATTTTGAACATACAATTTACAATCTTCCATTTTTTCTCATCGCTACAACATTTTTTCAGCGACGCAACCTCGAAGCAGTCTGCTCAACGTAGCTCGTTAGTTGACAAGTTTTTGTGATGGTGTTGTAATTCTATTCAAGTGTGGTTACTGAATATACTGCTCCAAGTTAAGACCTTTGAATTACTGACAATTTTTTTGAAGGTAATGCAATCCAATTCCGAAATGCTCCATGAGATCATCAGCACTATGCCTTGGCCCGGTTATCGACATTAATTTCCGTGGTTTCGTTACTACATGTGAGTGCACTCAACATATTTTGGTTTCCGACTGTTCTTGAATGGTGTTTTTAGATCTCCCTTGTTTTCTGCTTATTCTTTTGAAATTCATGTCCAGGATAGGACCACGCGGGAACGCGTCCTTAAGGGAAGAATAGGTTAATGGTCCCAAGGTGTTACGTCCAATAAATCAAAATTTTTTTACCCAACCATGAATCATTTTGACTGGAAGCCCTTGCCTTGTCCAATATATTAAATATTCTCTGAATCACTTCTCTATTACGTGGCCGAGCGCACCCGTGGCTGCAGAGACGGGCGCATCGTGGGACTTGAATTTTGTTTAATATCTTCCGATATCAAACGAAATAACTGGGGGCCGAGTGGATAACTATAAACAGCATAATGGACAACTAGAAACGACATGGTCTAAAATTAAAAGTGCTTTGTTTCAAGAAAGAATTTCTGAACCCTGGGAAATTTTCGGTTCGTTTCGTCTCCGTTTTTACTCAATACGAAATATGTAAATAAGCGAGTTGCCAGAAGAAACCCAAACCTCGTGGACGGGAAATACGTAACTTCTAGAAATGTGAAAAAAATGCTTCATTTTACTGCATGTCGGAATGCCAAATACTCTTCATTGCATTACACGTAACTTTGCATTCGGAAAATCTGGTATTCGTTCTCTCTACGCTATGTGGTGTGTGTTGGTGAGTCTCTGCTCTACTATTGGAACACTGTGAACATTTTTTGGCCAACATTTTGATGTTTGCCTTTCAAAAACCGAAAATCTGCGTGTAATTGTGAAACGGCAAGCCAAAAACGCGACGCCACCCGCGTGTGCGATGTTAAATGACTTTGTTTTAACCGTATTACACCTTCCTGAGGCGGAATGTGTAGTGACAAAGTGCGCGCATTAGCTCCGCGAATCGGTCAAGGGTTCAAATCCTGGGTCGTGAGTCGCCCGGGCCAACCAAGCCTCCGAGGTTGAATTGGTACCAGACTTCGACTGTCTGGGAGGATAAAAACACTGACTTGTACATCGGCTGGCCCCCGCAAGTCATTGTATAGGCCACATCGCATTCAAACGCCACTACGAATGTACAAATGGAAGTAGAATGCGTGCCGCATCCCAAAAAGGGATTGATCAACGGCAAATGCTTTATCCTTATCCTTTATTACGCTTCTGTGAATTCCTTGCTTCTGTTTTATTTTATACCATCGCCGTGTTTACGCATAAATTCGCCAATCTTTAGTATTCCTTTACACCACCAACTAACTCAATCTCGAGAAACTCTCATAGAACTGGGCTAATCATGCTAACTTCTCGATTATCACAAACAACACACACAGAGCAGCACCACTGTGGCCCTAATGTTTTCCACTAGTTGCGATATACAACTGAAAATAACTAGGGCTAGTGGATAAGCTATAACCGAGCATTTGTGGCCCAACTAGACAACACAGACGTGTCCCAAAAGATTAAAAGTGCTCTGTTTCAGGAAAAATTTAATGAACCCTGGGCAAATTCGGTTGTCTATCTCGTTTTCTTATTCAATTCCGTAAATATGTAAATAAGCGCGATTCGCAGAAGTAAACTCCAGACCTCTATGGTTCCGGACGCATAGTCGGTCGACAGACAGCAACGACTGCAAGTGTCGCACAGCATCGGGTGCGTATCGATCTGCGACAGCAGCGGTCGGACGACAGCAACGACCTGCAAGTGTCGCAGATCGATACGCACCCAATGCTGTGCGACACTTGCAGTCGTTGCTGTCGTCCGACCGACTATGCGTCCCTATGGACGAACGATAAGAGATATTCTAGGGAAAAAAATGAAGAAAAACCATGCTCGATGCTACACTAGCGCCAGCAACAAAAACAAAAGAAAACTGATTTACTTAATTTTCATTGCCACACACACGTACATATCTACAATATTGCTCTCGCGCAAATCTGTATTCATGTGCTAAGCACTATTCTCTCGTATGACTGAAACATGTAAACATTATTCTATCCCACATCATGCATGTTTCTGCACTTTCAAAAAACCGTATAAATCCGCAGTATAGAGTAGGATTATCAGCACTTCTAAAAATAACCCGTCCACACGACCTAAAAAGCGCGGACGACCAACGCGTCAGTGTGGATTGCTAAATGATTTGTTGTAACCAATTACACTTCTTATTTCCCGCTTGCATTGTCCATTCTGTACCACCCGTAGTTCACCATGAAATTCGTCAATATTCAGGTATTTCCTTGTCACGAGCAACTACTTCATCTTCGGAGAAAGTCTCATAGATTATTGGGCTATTCTGCTACGAAAAGACGTAAGTCGTCAATTTTTCCAGTGTGCTCGCGTATTCCATATAAATAATATTTGTTTTTTTTTTTTTTTTTTTTTTATTTTTTTTATTTTTTATTTTCATGAACTTTCACATTCACCAACAGTTATCAATAAACTGATACTTCTTGATCGTCGATTTGTATGTTTCGTCTCTTATCGCCTAAAGGAGGGCTACTACCAATGCGTCAGTTTTCTCTGGTGATAAGGATGCTATTTGGTCTAGTACATTTTACAATGAACGGCACTTTTGTTTTGATTGTTTCAATTTGTTGATGGTTTATTATAGTTTGCTTGGACTCACATCACGCTACTGCTAATCGTCTGCCAGTCATTCTTCATCATCCCAGAATATTTCCTCGTATAACTTCGTATAATGTATGCTAGTCTCTGTTCGAAGGAATCTTAGGCCTATGGCTATCTACGGCTATGAAATTTTTAATAGAAATGAGGGGCTGACAATATGAAATGCTTTCAGTTGGTGTCCTTGATGTTTTACCCGTGGTTCACTCAAGCCGATTACGGGCATTCAATGATCATTAATTCAAAATATACTCTCAAATAAATCAATGAATTTTAAGGTTCCTCGTCCCAGTTGCAATGATTATTTGTTGCGATGTGATGTCATACATGTTCGGTTTTTTCTTTGGAAAAACACCGCTCATCAAGTTGTCCCCTAAGAAGACATGGGAAGGTTTCATTGGAGGAGCTGTCAGTACCGTCGTATTCGGTATTTTGGTGAGTTGCAAAGTCGCTTTGAAGCTCCATTTTGCTAGTGTTATTACGGCTTTTTCTTGCCTTTGGAGAATTTTTGACTTTACAGAAGATCGTTCTCTTAACGATTTCTCAAATTTCGAAAACACTGGGTTTTGAACAGTCATTGATTTCTTTTAGCTCTCATACTCCCTTTACAATCGACCATTCTTTGTTTGTCCCGTTGAAGACTACTACATTGACAATACAAACTGCACCATTCCGTCATCCTTCCAACTACAACCATATTCCATTCCACGCCCACTTTCATGGATCTTCAAAATTCTTAGGTATGTCATCTATCTTATCGCAAAAATTACTGGATGCATTCAATCGCTTCTCAATTTAGGATGTTTTCTGATTCCAGACGTGACCCGCACGTGTATCTCTTCCCATTTCTTGGTCATGCTGTAGTGATGGCGCTGTTCGCTAGCTTGCTCGGTCCATTCGGAGGGTTCTTCGCCAGTGGATTCAAAAGAGCCTTCAAAATCAAGGTAAAATGAGTTTTTATCGTTAGAGAGCATCTGATTTTGCCTATCATAAAGTGAGAGCGTGTCTTCTTTATGTTTTTTTTCTTTTTCTGTAGTCGAGCTTCTTGATGTCAACGTTTTCCGCATTTATGACCCCTACACTAAATGTGTCTGGTTTCTAAGACCGCTTACTTTTGATGGAACAGGGGCGAAGTTTGTGGATAGTACCATGAAAAGCAACTCTCTTGGTCTCAATTATCCTTTAGAAACAATGGAATTACTCTGCAGTCGTCGCGAGTACAACTGCCTCCTATGTTTTTCTTTTCAGGACTTTGGAGATGTGATTCCTGGCCATGGAGGGCTAATGGATCGGTTCGATTGTCAACTCCTCATGGGTACATTTGTCAGCGTGTACATCCACACGTTTATCAGGTAGACCCTGAATTTTCTTCTGGTTCCAAGTAAAATCGAGTGTATTGTATTGCCTGACTTTTAGAGTGCCGAATCCGGCCAAGTTGGTCACCCAAATCCTGTGGCTGCAACCAGAAGATCAGATAACAGTGTTCAATTCGTTGAAACATGAACTCATTCAATCCGGATTGTTACAGCCATCTTGAAACTAAGGTCTTTATTAATCTGCCACAGATCTCGCCAATGTTACCAGAATAAGTCTTCATTGACCTTTAATTATAAGTTGTATTGAATTTCGTTTTCATATTTTGTTTTCATATTGTAATGATAAGCACGTAACCACAGCTACGTTTGAGCGCGACAGCTTATTTCCACAGAAACATCTTCATTTTATATTGAAAATTCCGCGTTTCTACTTATTGTAGATGTTGCAGCTGATTTCTTCCATCAGAATTGCTGTTTATCTTTTTTCCTATAGGCTGCTTTAATTTCATTACCACAAAGGTGGTTTTATGTTGTAGTTTTTTCTTAGATAGTTGTGTGCGTGTTCTGTCCCTGTCAAATAATGTTATTACTTTTCTTTACGTATTCTTTTTTCCCTGTAAGTTTTTCTAATAATCTCGGTCTTTGTCAGACGTGCTTAGTTTAGACTATGCTTGTAATCTGTGATGGAGGTGATTTTTATTGTACATATGAAACTACACGTATAGCGACGCCTAGTCCGCCCACAATGAATATTTTTACAATATCTTTTGTCGTTGTGAAATTGTTCTCAATGTACGGACTTACTTGGCCTCAATAACGTAACCAAAGGACGTAATTCAATTAGTTTATAGGGCTTAGCAATGAGCTTAAGCGAAGCGCAAGGCTATCTTGATCAGGTACGTGTGGCGGTTTTATTGAAGCAATATTTCTGAAAGTTTATGATTGTGAGCATAAGAATACGGCAAAGTCTAGTTGTTGTCTATGGCTACCCCTCTTCGGGAGATTCTTTCACAATTCATCACCCTTTTCAAGCCTTATTTCCTCATCCTCAAACATACTTCTAAGAGCGATTTCGTTCTATCACTCCTTATTTTGCAACTGACGTTTTTTCGAAGCAGCTTCCGTACACGACTCCAAATCTGTTCCTAAAATAGTAAGTTGGATTCAGCCAGTGGGAACTAAAGGTGAACGGTTGGGATCACAACTAGATGCGACCATATTTTGCGTTTTTCTGATTTGCGTGGAGAAGATAGCTACCTAAAGATCGTAATCTTGCGATGATATGGCGGGCAAAATGGCATTGTCGATGCCTATCTATGCCACTCTGAAACTGCCAGATGGTTGCAGTCGTTTAGCAGATTCGTAGAGCCTCTGATTTACGTGGAGCAGCATAGGTATCTACTTCGACGTATTGGCTTGTTCGGAACTTCGGGCTTTCCACCGATTTTGACACTCAAATTCCAAAGCGCAAATGTCGGCTCGAACAAAACTTATTTGTTCAGGATAAAGACTACTGTTATGCCTTTGCCCAAAACATTCGCAAGGCGAACTGCGGCCAAAAACAGCAGTTAACAAACAAAAACAAGTCAAAACACCAAAGAAGAGGGTTTAATAGTTCCGGATGTTGGAAGTGCTTTAGTTCTGTAGGCGAAGAAGTTGGCGAAGTCGTTTAACCATCATGTTGGGTTTCAACGTTTGATCTCTTTGAAAAGACTATCCAGATGGCTGGAAAAGTGGTAGTTGGTAGGCAAGAGGTCTACTGTGCAAGATGTTCGCAGCACAGTTTTGTAGCTCAGCTAGTTCAACTTGTGCACGGCTGGAAGTGCGAGATGGGGCTGCGCAATTGTGGGAAAAAGAGTCGGCGGCACCCACTTGTCGACTGGTTCGGACGCGTTTTGAATACCTGTATATTTGGGAACCCCAGCTCAGCTACACCTAAAAAAAGCGGCCTGTTAAATAGTAGAAGTGGTTTGATCAAAACCCTCAGTTAACCCTTGTCAGTCTTTGATATCTAACCTTCACCCTGATCTTCTTGAAGCTTTTACCATTGCGAGAAGACATTTTGAATCATGACTGCACAGCGAATTTTTGTGGATTCGGGACCAAATGCTCAGTTGATATCCAACTTGCTTCAGCACTTTTCCGACCAAATTTGAGAGAAACAAGAAACTCAAAAACAGCCTGTTGAGTATGTTGTATTCAAGACTTCAAATAAGAGGAGAAAAGTGCATCAGGGTTAAAGAAACATTACGTTTGGATAAAGCGGGAAACGAGCTTTCTATTGATATATTAAGTGGTGGAAGTTTCTTAGAAGCAATTCAGAAATGAAGTGAAAAGTGAAAAAAGTGAGTTACTACAAACGGAAGAATTTTCCGAGTAACCCAGTTAATCAAAGTTAGCAAAGGAATGAATATGATTTTTTGGTCCGGAAAGCTTTCTTCAATACTTCCCAAAATACCAGGACATGCAGCTCTCGTTTTTAAACGAAAACTGAATTGAGGGGCGTTCATCAGCATACAAGAGGTTACCCTTGAACACCGGCTTCTGTGGGAACTGCCTCGACTTTCTAATGGGCTTTCTCTCCTATTAATTCTTTTCAGATTGCCTTGATCGATGCACAGTTATCCGCGAATGAGGGATTGGAAGATCGCGCTTCTCTTATGGAAATGCGGGCTGATCTCGTAGAATTGGTGCAGCTCTTGAAAGAACAGGTTAGTGTTGCTCCTCATTTTGAAGTTTTCTGCAGACAACTGAACATATGGAAGTTCATAAG